AATTTTGAACGGAATTCAAGGTCCTGGTTCCTCTCCGTGCTTTAGAGTTCCTACTTCTGTTCCCTGGATCACATCTCACTCCCATTCCTAGGTAGAAAAGGGGGAAAGCAGTAAACTTGCAAACTGTTGTTGCCGGATCGTAAAGCTGGCGTTCTCGGTTGATGAGCTGGCCGGCAGTTCATTATTCACATCTCGAACTTGATATAAGTGAGATCAAGTGAATTACTGCTCTCCTCAAGGAATTATTAAAATCCTCTAGGGAAAGTCGTCGCCCGGAGCTTCTAACCCTTGCGCTCGAACCAAAATCCTTGTCCTCTGGGCTGGTAATCATTCCTACCCCCCATCAACCGCCATTTCCCGTTCAGCATTAAAAAAATTGAAGAAGAATAGTGGAAAGAATCCCGTGCTCTTCGTAGCTTTGAGGGACATCTTGTGTAAAATTGGGATGTCCCTTATCAGCACGAACTATTGCAGAAAAAGTTCTCAGCTTATTGGAATAATGCCAAAGCTCTAAAATATAGCATTTTACCCACAAAAAAGCTCATTATTTCGGAGTTTCTGACTGCGGAAAGCTCGAAAGTCTTTCATTCAAGAATGTGGTAGAAAACTCAGCACAGACCATGTTTTAACCACGGAAAGAAATCGGTCGTTTTCGAAAAGATCGCTGCCAACGTTTGAATGCGCGCCCTGAGTTCATTTGGAGCAGATTATTTTACGATTTTTTATGCTCCGCAAAATCCTGAGAAATTCCACGTCTGCTTGATTTGAATTCGGTTTATCATGGTATCACTCATTTCGTTTTGGTGAATATTTCGCCTGTTTGCTTTGTAACCTAAGATTTCAATGTTCGTGTCTTTCTTTTCTCTAACTTTTTGTTGTTTTTTGGTATCTCTTATTTATAATTGGTGGTATAAGGAACTAAGCAGTCGTAATACTTCATTTTTATGAAAATTCGTTTGTTGTCTTTCCGAAGCTTGCCCTTTCCTCTGCCTTGAGCACGGTAGTTCAGTATTTGTTTGAAAGTGAACATGTCGTTCCAACTTAAACACGGGTCCAGTCATTTTTACTTGAACTGTTCCGCCAACTTTTCTATTTTTTTTTCGAATTATCGTCTGTGAGATAGTCTGTCTGAGGGGAAATTGTTTTTCATTTCCACAAACAATGTTTTATTAGGATGATTCAATTCTTTTGTTGCTTTATGGTTCTTACTGAACTAATCATAAGTGGTTTCTTTCAGACTGAGTTAGAATCTTAAAAAAAGTAATATTAGAAGTTCAGGTGAGGATTTGTTGCAAAGTTTTTGAGCACTTATTATTTTTCAAGCAAGGTGCTGAATCCTACTCTCAAGGCATGCGTGCTTATTGAAGTGAAAATGGTCTCGCGAAGTGTTTCCCGGTTTTTCGCTCCCTTTTAAGAGTACACTTTTTGCTAAATCTATTTAGAGTTCTTTGACTTTAACTACTCTACATGCGTGAGCAATGGGCTACCTAGCTCTTTTCAGCGCTTCCAAAAACATCGTCGTTCCATCAGCTATCTATTAAGAACAGAATGCAGCGTCGCTCTTTGGACCAAAATATCCTTGTAGTTCAAAGGACGTTTGCGGTCACTATGAACTGCAGACAGAAGTAAAATTATTCTTGATTTTCGATTTCGTCCACCTTTATTGAGCGGTTGCGGTTTTGGGATATGGATCAAAATACATATAGCTTTTAGAAATTCATCTAGAAACCTCGGAAGAACAGAACGACACGCTTAGTTTCACGAAACTACATTTTTCTAGTTAGTTAGCTTTCTAACGGTCTGGCCATGGATGCTCGGTTGTTTTGAGCACACCTTCTAGTGTAGTGTATGAATAAATGTGAAATGAAAACAAATTTGTATTGTTTAAGCTGACGAATAAATCGGCTGAGAGGCAGGGCCAGTTTCTCGCCACGTGCTGACTTCCCTGTCATTTTTGTTATAAGGCCTGTAAATTCTTGTAATTCTACTAAATGGTACGAGCTACACTCTACGGGTTTTGCTCCATTGTACTGCCCCAGCAGAGCACTAGATGTATTAAAAACTAAAATCTTCCATTCAAATGTTCCGAGAAAATGACACGTACCCACTTTGTTTCGCATTGAGATTCCAACTTAAAGGAATGGCCCGTTCGCCACCGCTCCTATGTCACTAGGCATCTCCCGCATCAACTTCCCACCCCTCTCATCTGAGCGTCAAAAAACGAAACGAAACATCTCTGATGGTGTTGTGTTAGTCGTAAGCGTGCCTAGTTCCTCTTTTCTAAAGAGACGAAACTTTGTTCTCCTTGGCCCACAATCGTTTTTTCCTACATTTCTCCACTAGATGCCTTCGAATCTAAAAAAGATTACGGGAGAGTGGCGTGAAAATAAACTTCTCGCTACATTGTAGCTTTACAAGGGTCATCAGGTCTTTGCAAAATGGCATAACAAGATTAAAGGTAATGCCCCCTCACACACGATTTTTGCGAAATTTTCAGCTGATTGTGTTGAACAAATTAGAAGTTGTTTGGTAGCATTTCGGGTGTTGCTTGTCAGTTATGAATGCAATAACGATGCCTATTTGTGGCATATTCACCCTTTGACAGGAATCAATAATTTTCTATGTTATGTGATGTGATCTGTGTCTAATCGCTGGAAATCTCCTTTTTTAGTTTTTTCGTGATTTCCTTTCCCTTCTCTTCTTATTGGAGAAGTATAGTACCCTCGGTGCAGTTTTAGCTTTTTTTTTTGCAAATTGCATTTCACTTTAGCTTTTAAGAATGTCATCTTCTGACGAGGACACATTCCCGGTTGACCGAAATGAGGCCATGGATGCTATAGAGAAAGATGATCAACAAAGAGGGTCTCGATAAGATAACCAGTTCTAAAATCCGAGCCCATCTGACTGTAAGAGTTTCTTCAAGTTTGTCTTGCATTGTTGCCCTGTGTTGTTAAATACTACAGCCTTTCAGTCTACATTTAATCAAAGTTTCGATGATTATCGCAAAGAGGTGGACTTACTGACAAAGCAGGTCATAGAAAGAAGAGAAAAGCGCGTTGCACAGGCGCCATCGGAACCGGGTGATACTGAGGAGAATCAGAGGTGGTTTGTTCCCTCTTCCATTGTACTTTTCATCGGATTTTCTCGTTTCCAGTCCGGAAAAGTCTGCTGCAGCCGATGCTGCCTCTGACAAGCGAAGGAGCGTTACCCTGCATGCAACGGCTGTGGTATTGACGAAGCAGAGCATCGCCGGACAAAGAAGAAACGACGTCTTGAAGAAGAAAAGCGTTTGACACATTCAACTAGTGCATCGTGGATCGCCGGGCGAATCTTCCTTACTCCGTGTGCCAACGGGTATCTCCCTGGACATTTTCGAAAGAGGGCCAATTCGGCTTCACCGGGCATTAATTCCCTTCCGTTTGTTAGCGCTCCCCCAAATTTTCTGTATGCTGTCCTTGGATTGTTGGGAATTTGTCGTGTTGAGATGTTGACTTGCAAACGCCTTTTGTGGGCGTGGGTTTCGGAATCGAGTTATGATTCTTGGAGACAAGCGCTGATCAATCGGTGCAGATCTCCCCACTGCGGGTATCTTTTTCTTATTTACTCGGCGACCTGCAGCTGACCTCCATTTATTTCCATCTATCATCTGTAGGCGTTTTGTGAGTTTTTTGTCGGTGGCTTCTCCCGCTTAATTTGCCCTAATTTGACCTATGAACACTCAAGTACACACTGCCCAATGTGGGCGGAGCTCAGCATGTACGTGTGTTTCGCGCGTTTTGACCTATGTATCATATCAAAGTTGACTCTCTCCCTAAAGCACGCAATTCCATTTCCTGTTCGACCAGACAGACATACAAAATCCTCGATCGCTTCCGCTCAGGCCAACCAAAGATCTATCCTCAGAGGCGGGTGGTACCAGATCGTATGGGAGGATACGACATAGACTTTTATTTTGTTGGCCCACAAGTAATGGCATTTTCCTCACTCGAAATATCGCGCTGAAGATGAAAATTTTTGCCATTTTGTTTATTCTTTGTTTTATGCAGAAACTTCCTTGCCCTCTATAATGCATACGTCATCTTCGCGCTTCTCTTAGTTCTGTTTCCACTAATATTTAGGTGCTCAAACTGGAGTGTCAGGTCGGCAAAATTGCGCATTTTCGACAACCAACCCTTTTTACTTCTGGTTAAAAAGTTACAACCGCAGTTGCCTACTTGCTAAGTTTATGGCGAAGAGTCTATGTCTCTCGGAGATGCTTACATAGTTAAAGTTATTCGAAGATTTCCATTTCTACCTCAAGGCAAGCATCGAACCACATTGGGAGCTTACTGGAAACCACCTTATTCATTGAGATTCATACCAAGGGTGGGCGGATCGTTAAAGGTCATGGAATGTTTTCCTTATCATTATCAAGCATCACCCTCCGTCTCTTGAAAGGTAGTGGGTAGGTTCTGCAGGCAATCGATCCCCAAGTGGGCCCATGTGATGCACACTGAAAGTCCGAACTCCCAGTTCCTAATCGCTTGAACCAACTCCAAGCTGTCATAGGAAGCATCTCTCCTTGATCATATACATCACAACTATTGAGCTTCTTCGTAATGTGAGAGCTGAGATAAAGTGCGAAAAGTTGTCAAAAACTCATTTTTGTGCCGACCCGACACTCCATTTCAATGAAACGAAAATCGACAAAAAAAATCAAGGAAAAGTAGGAAGGTACTCACACCACATTGTAGAACGGAAAATTATCTATCGAAAACACGAAGCGACCATCACTCTTTGTATAAAAATTTGTGTAAGAAAAACGCCATTGCCTACATGCCAACCCAATACATCGACTAGCTCTCGAAAGTTATCGTTTAATTCACAAAAGTGCACCGAAATATCGCAAGATAAGATATTTTAAAAATTTTGAGACTTTTGCTGTCTTTTGAGTTTTTTGGAATAAACTTTTGGAGTTTCACATTGTTATTACACATTCAGATAAGTAATGAGACTCCGGGACAGCACCATACTCCAGTATAGTTCACAGTTGCATCCCGAAAAAGGATTGATCAACAAAGCCTTAATCATTTTATCTTTTTTTGCTGAGACAGTGGATTTTCTGTCAAGCTGATGGGCAGCTAAAGTGCTATTCGTCTTTACAGCGGTGTTTTGACGTATCTGTTCATAGGTGTGGCACTCCCCAATAAGTTTTTTCAGCGAATAATGCAAGTTGTAATCCATCAAGACAAGCCGACCCTTGCACTTTAGCGAAAATATTTCATAGCAAGTACCATACTGTGGACGCTTATTGATACTGATTTATTAATATGGAATTGATCGCTATGTGCATTAATTTCCATGCACATTTTGGGAGCGAGTTTTATGTGTAGTTGCGGCTACGGGAGTTACTTTTGGCAAAAGTGTTTTGGTCATAATTCATGTTTGGTTATTAAATTCTTTTATTGATTGAAAAGGGATAGCGTTATGCT